GGATCTTCCTTTCGAAGGGAGAAGGATGGGATGGGTAGGTGGAGCAGGAAAAAAGTATATTTCTTCTGGCTGATGGCATTCTAGAATTAAAGAGAAGAGCAGGGTTAGATATTTGAGCATTTCTAATGTTACTGTTGACTTAAAATCCACAAGCCCTATGACACCCCCCCCTACACACACACCCCACACACATACCTACTATGAATCTGTCTTAGAGTCTGAAGCTTTTATCTTTCAGTGTTTGCACTAACAATACTTCTCTTTTTTACTGTTTAGTCTTCCAGTCAATCTTTACCTCTCACCCACCAGCATCTGCCTTTAGTCCACACTCATTGTATCCTGTCCTCAAGTCCTGAACTTCTCAGAGGCCTGCAGGACACCTGTTAGTGCACTTACTGGTGTTTCTACCTCAGCACACCTGCCCTACGCTGCTGCTTCAAAGTTAAACTTTCCTGGTCTTAATGCCATGGAAAGATGACTTATTTTTAAATCTTGCAGGAAATCACAGAATTTTAAAACTATGGCAGACCTGCATGCAGTTAGTGTGGTTTACATCTGTGTCATCTCAACTGAGCAGATACTTCTGATTTGAATATTTAGATAGGTCGGAGTTGGAGAATAATGGATGAGAAGCATCTTGAACCTCAGTGACTAATATTTAGAAATCATTGATGTGATAGAAAGAAGCTAGGTAAAGGCTTTATTTTCCCTGGTATCTCTGCCAGTAATTAGCCATGAACCCTTGGGGAGGTCAATCCCTGAGCGCCCCAGTTTCTGGTAAAACAATAAAATACTGGATGTAGTAGTTGTTAGCGCCGATCTTCTGAGGTAGTTCACAAGACGTAAGATGTCTTAGAGCAGTGGTTCTCAACCTTCCTAATGCCGCCACCCTTTAATACAGGTCCTCATGTTGTGGTGACCCCCAATTTCATTGTTACAAATTGAACATAATTAGAGCATAGTGATTAATCACAAAAACAATAGGTAATTATATATGTGTTTTCTTTTTTTTTTTCATTTTACATATTTATTAACTGTTTAAGTTTTTTGTATGACAGATTTCTAGTAAAACTGCTTGCCCCAAAGTTTGGATATATTAGTAAAATCATTCATTTGGCCTTCCTGATTAATATTCAAAATGTTCACAATTGAAAAAGTATTCATGTTGTAATGTACCCCGCAAATCACACAAGGACGCCTCCAGAAGTCGAATTAAAGTGTCACATTATTGCAAATCAGGGACTATGAGGGGGCCTTTCGCTCTCCCAGATCTTATAGTGCCCGCCCCAGCCCCAACACCAGATTTATATAGGCAAAGATCACAAAAGTATTGATTACATCCAAGGTTTGGAATGAGGAACCTGGTTTGCAAAAAAGCAGTTTACAGAAGCAGAAGCAGCATGTTATCTAAATTATAGTTTTGGGTCTCTAGATCACTGAATTGAAACACATTATCTAGAGCCCTCGATCTGGAATGAGGAACCTGGTTTGCTAACTGGAGCCCTCTGACCTTGGGATAATTGTGCTGTCCTTCCCAGGTAAAGGAAAATGTGCTTTCTAAGACCAGTATGACCACAACCAATGGGATAGTCATATTACAATCAATAGGGTATTTAATTGAATGGGATAATTTATATAATTCAGAAAATCAAAATAACCTTTCTATTGTTAAACAAAGCAAATAAGTACAGAAGTCAAACAGCAGGGTTAAAGTTAAACTATCGTTTCTACCTGAGATGATTGCTACCATACTTCATTACAGGGTATGGCATTCCCTATTTTAAAAGAGTGTTAAGATACATGTCCTGTAAATATATAGACACTGCTTGGAAACGAGAAATGGCATTTAAATTTCTTAAGGAGGTTGGCGTTTATATAGGACAGTGTCTCGGAAGTTGTGACTGGGGTGTGGGTGGAAGAATAGACCTTGTAAGTAGGCTGTGAAGCTCTGCCTCCAGGAAGAAAAAACCAGTCTATCCTGAGAGACAATTCTCTTTTTTTTAAAAAATTAAATCTTTATTGTTCAGATTACATTTGTTCCTCTTTTTTCCCCCCCCATAACTCCCCTCCTCCCAGTTCCCGCCCCACCCTCCGCCCTCACTCCCCACCCACTGTCCTCATCCATAGGTGCACGATTTTTGTCCAGTCTCTTCCCGCATCTCCCATTCCCCTTTCCCCCCCAAGAATAGTCAGTCCATTCCCTTTCTATGTCCCTGATTCATTATAATCACCAGTTCATTCTGTACATCAGATTATTTATTCACTTGATTCTTAGATTCATTTGTTGATAGATGCATGTTTGTTGTTCACAATTTGTATCTTTACCTTTTTCTTCTTCTTCCTCTTCTTAAATGATACCTTTCAGCATTTCGTATAATACTGGTTTAGTGGTGATGAACTCCTTTAGCTTTTCCTTATCTGTGAAGCTCTTTATCTGACCTTCAATTCTGAATGATAGCTTTGCTGGATAAAGTAATCTTGGTTGTAGGTTCTTGATATTCATCACTTTGACTATTTCTTGCCATTCCCTTCTGGCCTGCAAAGTTTCTGTTGAGAAATCAGCTGACAGTCATATGGGTATTCCCTTGTAGGTAATTGAGTCTCTTTCTCTTGCTGCTTTTAAGATTCTCTCTTTGCCTTTTGCTCTTGGCATTTTAATTATGATGTGTCTTGGTGTGGTCCTCTTTGGATTCCTTTTGTTTGGGGTTCTCTTCGCTTCTTGGACCTGTAAGTCCATTTCTTTTACCAGGTGGGGGAAGTTTTCTGCCATTATTTCTTGAAATAGGTTTTCAATATCTTGCTGTCTCTCATCTTCTGGCACCCCTTTAATTCTGATGTTTGTACGCTTGAAGCTGTCCCAGAGGCTCCTTACACTATCTTCATATTTTCGGATTCTTTTTTCATTTTGCTTTTCCGGTTGGGTGTTTTTTGCTTCTTCGCATTTCAAATCTTTGACTTGATCCTTGCGCTCCTCTGGTCTGCTATTGGGTGTCTGTATAATATTCTTTATTTCAGTCCGTGTACGCTTAATTTCTAGTTGGTTCTTTATCACAGCATCGAGGGTCTCATTAGATTTCGTGAGGATCTCATCAAGTTTATTGGAAGCTTCTAGCACATTATTGCAAGCCCTCAAAATTGCGTTTTTTAGCTCTATATCCTCCATTTCTGTCATGTTTTTTGTCTCCGCATTTTTTATGCTTTCTTGGTGCACCCCCTTGTGGTCTTTGTGCACAGTCTTGTTCTAGTTAAGCCTTGATTGTTGTAGTTAATACTAGAGGGATTTGACCACCAGGCCGACTGGCTGTGAGAATCAGCTGTGTCTGCCTTGGGAAAACTTCTGTCCTCTGGAGAGGTGCTAATCTAGCCTATGCCTGAGGCGATCCGGCAAATGGCTCTGCGCAGGGCTTGGGCGGGGTGGGTCGCAGGGGATCAACAGGGCGGGCGGAGGGAGCAGTTATGGCTGCTCTCAGTCCCGTTCCCAGAGGCTCTGCTTCTCAGAACCCCAGCAACCGCTGCAAACCTCGGAGAGAAAGCTGCCCTCACGTTCCAACTGATGCCAGACAATCCCGCTTCTCCCATTTGAGTCTGAGTCCCTAGAGACTCGCCCGGATCTGGAGCTCAGAGTCTGAGACTCCCTCCTGATTGAAAACGACAACCGCGCCCTCAGCCACCAGCCCGCTTTGCGCGCGCACCTCTGCACCTTTGTATTTTCCACACTGCGCCTCCTCTGAGCCTCGGTATGCTGTTGTCTTTCCTTCTAGTTGAAGAGTCTCTCCTCGGCCAGCCTTCCTGTGGTTCTGGGTGATGTCGGTTCAGTCTTTTAGTTGTATTTTTGAAGTGGTTGTTTGCGGCAGCAATCTCTGGTGATTACCTATGCCGCCATCTTGGTCTCTCTCTATATGTGTTTTCTGATGGTCTTAGGCGACCCCTGTGAAAGGGTCATTTGACCCCCAAAGGGGTCGCGATCCACAGGTTGAGAACCGCTGTCTCAGAGGCTTTGGGTAGTTCTTTTTAACACTAGCTTCATTTCATTGTTGTGAAATAGCGGTCACCATGGATATCAAAGTTGTTAGGACACCGTGATAAATGCTTTATTAAACCTGGAGTGAAGGAGTAAGCTAGCCACTGGGCATGAGGTAAGCCTCAGCGTAAGGCTCTAGTTCATCAATGCTTTTTTCTCTTAGTCTTATCCACAGTGTAAGGTAGCAAGAGCCCACCAGAGTTATAGTAATGTCTAGGAGGCACTAGTAAGTCTCTGCAGGTTTTCAGTAACTTCTTTTGTTACTATAGCATTTTAAAAAATGATTTTATTGATTTCAGAGAGGAAGGGAGAGGGAGAGAGATAGAATATCAATGATGAGAAAGAATCATTGATCATCAGCTGCCTCCTGCACGCCCCCCACTGGGGGCGTATACCCTGACTGGGTATACAACCCAGGCATATACCCTGACTGGGAATTGAACCGGGACCTCCTGGTTCATAGGTCAAAACTCAACCACTGAGCCAAGCTGACCAGGCATTACTGTAAAATTTGGACTTTAATTTTCATAGTCATGCTTAGGTAGATTTTCCTAGGGGTGTTCCATAACCTTATTGTGGTTCACAGGTAGGATATCTTTACATCATTGACAAATGGGTATTTGAAGGTCAGTGCAAGTTTGAGTGGCTCCACTGATAACGGAAGCTTACAGAAACCAGGAAGGGAAACCAGTGATATTTGCTTGTTTTGTTTTTATTTTTAAAGATGGACAAATTCATAGTAATTCCTTTTAAAATCATCATTAATGGTTGCTTAGAATCCCTGACCAGGCTGTTTTGGTGTTTTTTGTTTTGTTTTGTTTTGTTTTTGAAATGGGATAGTAATTGAGTTGTATTTATTTAGGTGATAAAGTGTCTGTGTGAAATCTAAAAGGAATTTGACTGAGGATACAAAATTGCTATAGTTCCTGTTTACTTTACGTGTGGTAATAGTAATATTTATTTTACTTTTTACTTTTAGTAATGAATGTTATAACTATTGAAGATTATAAGAGCACATACTGGCCAAAATTGGATGGTGCCATAGATCAGCTTTTAACCCAGAGTCCTGGTGACTATATCCCCATATCCTATGAACAGATATACAGGTAAGTCAGGATTTAATTTGCCTGGGTTTGAGAGGGTATATTGAGGTTCATGGCAACTTGATTATGATAGTATGTATGCATATAATTATATAATATATAAGATGAGGCTCTAAGTTATTTATATGTTACACACATGTGGATTGGAGGTTTGCTTTATACTTTTTGCTTCAGACTTGGTTTTCAAATCAGGATAGAGTTAACTCCACCTCAGCCTGCCATCCGTGCCATATATAATGCAGAAATGATGGAGGTCAGCAAAAATATATATTTTTAGTCTCACAGGGAGACTTTAGCTTAATCTGTCCATGTTTATGACACACAGTTCTAACACTGGTTATTTTGTTTCCCAGCTCCTGGTAAATGGAAGCAGCAAATTAGTGAGGAACTGGGGTGGGTATGAGATCAGCCCAGTCACAAGAGGAGGAAGTGACAACTGGGTTGTTCCAAACAAGTGAGGCACAAAGAGGTTACACTGCACATGTTTTTGTGAGTTAGAAACTTTCTACCCCTTATCACTCTCTCTTCCTTATTTTGACATTCATTAAAATGAGAGAGAAGCTGGTCTATAAGTAGTTACCATAGTCAGACTCAGATTATCATCACGTATTAGATTTTCTAGTTTTGATAAAATGTGTAGTAGAGTACTCATAAAGATTTGTTTGTTGCTGGTGGTAATACTTCTCCCATCTGAACACTGATTGGAGCAGAGTAAATTTTTTATTTAAAAGTTGTGATTGGTCACTGTTTTTAGGCCTGAATTGGTTATTTGACCAGTGGCTGTATATACAGAGTATGCTTTAACCTTAGGCTGAATTACATGCTTCATCATTAACCTGGTTTTTCTGTTTTGTTTCCCCCACAGTTGTGTGTATAAATGTGTATGCCAGCAGCACTCAGAACAGATGTATAGTGATCTGATTAAGAAGATAACTAATCACTTAGAGAGAGTCTCAAAGGAGCTGCAGGTAAAGAACTGATTGTATTGCTTTCTGCTTCCTTGGGATTTTCTGACTGGTTGCAATTAGCCTGTATAATATACCTCCGGAGGCTTGTTAATTTGAGTATGAGATAAATTTATAAACAGATGGATATTGACCAAAGCAGCTAATTTTGTAATAGATTATTATTTAAAAATTTTGACATAAATTGTGGAAATTTTTTAGATTGAATGTATTTCAGACTTTAACTGATTCATTTATTACCATGTGAATATTTATTTAAAACCTTATTTTTTTTCTGGTGCACTTTGGTATTTGGTGGCATTTATAATATAAATGTGTATATGTTAATTTTTTTCTGAAACTTTCAAAAAATTATCTTTGAAGAGTGATTTGCCTACCAGTTTCTAAAATTTGCTAATTATGAGCAACTGAAGTCAGAATTTTGCTGATAAACCCTCTTTAGACAAACATCATCCTGGCTGTAAAATCTGGGGCAGGTTGTAGAAAATACTCTGCTTAAAAAACACTTGGCCTCTTGATCCCCCCAACATCCCTCTCTGCCTCAGTAAGGTTTCCAGTGCTTGAAGGTCGAGTACTATTTTTATGCCAGGGCCAGATCACATTTTAGTTCTGGAGTAGAAGTAACATGATGTATAGGAAAGTCACTCAGCAATAAATTATGGTCCACACCACAGTTGGGAAGTACTCCAGCAATTCTGAAATAGCTACAGTTTCTAGAAAGTGCTGGGGTGTGCTCTGGGCTTAGATATTGTTCTTTACTTACCTGTGTGCTGAGTTATCTTAGTCTTATTTAGCCCAAACTGTTGTACTAAGTAGCTTTTTTTTTTTTTTAATTATAGCCAGAGCATTGTTTATCATAGCCAAATATGTACTTTTCCTGTTGTTAGTGTAAAGTGTTTTCTTCATCTTTTTGCCACTAAATACAAGATCTTTATTCATTTAACAAATATATTTAGTACCGAGGTATTGTATATAAATTGCAGATGAAACCCCTGATCTGTGCATTATAGCTTTGAAAGGTTTACTAATTCTTTTTTTACTTTAAATAATTTTATATTTTTCAGTTACAGTTGACATATACTATTATATTAGTTTCAGGCATACAACCTAGGGAATAGACATTATATAACTTAAGAAGTGATCACCCTTATAAATCTAGTACTGATCTGACACCATACATAGTTATTACAATACTAGAGGCCCGGTGCATGAAATTCGTGCACGGGAAGGGGGGTTCCTCATGCCCTGACTGCCCTGCTTCCCCCCCCCCCCCACCCCGCTGGCCTGGTCACCCCTTACTACCCCCCCTGCCAGCCTGGTTGCCCCCTAACTGCTCCCCCGCCGGCCTGGTTGCCCACACAGCCTACTGTTCAGTCGTTTGGTCATCCCTCACTAACGCCCCTGCTGGCCTGGTTGCCCCACGCAGCCTGCTTGTTCAGTCATTAGGTCGTCCCTCACTAACCCCCCTGCCAGCCTGGTTGTAGGCAGCCATCTTGTGAGGGTGTGATGGTCTAGTTGCATATTACCTCTTAAGATTATTGACTATATTCCTTGTGCTGTGCTTTACATCCTCATAACTATTCTGTAATTACCAATTTGTACTTCTTAATGCCTTCACCCTTTTCACCCATCATCCCCAACTCCCTCCTCTCTGGCAACTGTCAAAATGTTCTCCCTCTCTGACTCTGTTTCTGTTATGCTTGTTCATTTAATTTGTTTTTTAGATCTATTTTGGCCTAAGTATTGCTACCCCAGCTTTTTTTTGTTTCCATTTTCATGAATATCTTTTTCCATCCCTTTTGAAGTGAGTCTCTTGTAGACAGCATATGTAAAGGTCTTGTTTGTTATCCATTCAGCCTCCATAGGTATTTTTGATTGGAGCATTTAGCCTATTTGCATTTAAAGTAATTGTTGATAGATATGTATTTATTGCCATTTTATTATTCATATATATATATTTTTTATTCATATTTTTTATATTCTTTCTTCATCTTCTTAAAGAAGACCCTTTAAAATTTCTTGTAATACTGGTTTGGTGGTGATGAACTCCTTTAGTTTTTTCTTGTCTGGGAAGCTCTTAACTGTCCTTGCATTTTAAAGGATAGCTTTGCTGGGTAATCTTGGTTGTAGGTCTTTACTTTTCATCCCTTTGAATATTTTGTGCCAATCCCTTCTGTCCTGCAAAGTTTCTGTTAAGATATCAGCTGTCAGTCTCATGGGAGCTCTCTTGTAGATAACTGCTTTTCTCTTGCTGCTTTTAAGATTCTCTCTTTGTCGTTAACTTTTGGCATTATAATTATGATGTCTATTGGTGTGGGCCTCTTTGGTTTATCTTGTTTGGGACTCTCTGTGCTTCCTGTACTTGTATGTGTATTTCCTTCACCAGGTTAGGGGAGTTTTTCATCATGATTTTTTCACATAAGTTTTCAGTGTCTTGCTCTCTTTTCCTTCCTGCATCCCCATTATGCAAATATTGGTATGCTTGAAGTTGTCCCAGAGGCTCATTATACTATCTACTTTTTGGGATTATTTTTTTCTTTTTGTTATCCTTATTGGGTGTTTTCTGTTTCCTTCCAAATCTCTGATTTGATCCACTGTTGATTGTCTGTAATGTATTTTTTATTTCAGTTAGTGTATTCTTTATTTCTGACTGGTTCTTTATGTGTTCTATTTCCGTTTTTATGTTTCCTATCTTTATTGCAGTTCTTACGAAGTTCTTTGACCATCCTTATAACCAGTGTTTTTGAACTTTGCATCTAGTAGATTGCTTGTTTACATTTTGTTTAGTTTTTCCCCCCTGGAGTTTTGTTTTATTTTTTCATTTGGGACATGTTTCTTTGTTTCCTTATTTTGGCTGACTCCCTGGGTTTGTTTCTGTGTATTAGGTAGACTTGCTATGTCTCCTGTGCTTGGTAGTGTGGCTTTATATAATAGTTGTCCTATAGGGTCTAGTAGCACAGCCTCCCCAGTCACCTGAGCTGGGCACTCCAAGTCCCCTGCCTCCCCCGTCCCCCTGTACGCTATGTACACTCTCCTGTTGAAGTTAAGCCTTGATTGCTGTTGGCATCTCAGTGGGAGGGCTTTTCCCTTGGGCTAGATTGGCTCCCAGGACTGACTATAACCACCATGGAGGATCAGCTGTGCAGGGGTCAAACCCATGGAGCTTCACTGGGGCTCTGTTTCCTGTTGTGTCCACCCTTTGAGTGTGTCCCTTGTGGAGGAGGTTGGAAGGTGGTCTGAAGCTATCCATCAGTTGTGCTGGTTCTGGGGCTTCCTGGTAGGTTCAGGCCAAGGTCATCTGTAGGATCCACCTGGCATGAGTTACAAAGTGATCTCCGGATGGCTGCTGCTTGTGCTTGGCTCTGAGGTGCTAAGGAGAGATCAAGCTGCAAACGGAGGCCAACTGCCACTAGTGCTGAGACTGGGCCCATTTACAAGAGGTATTTGGCTTGCTGAGGCCAGGTGTTGCTTGATTGAGAAGTTTTAGGAAAGTCTGAAGCATGTGCCAAGACAGGCTGTTTGCATGGAATAGCCACTGGAAACAGTGGTTTCTTTTGCCTCTACTTTTCCTCCCTTCCCTCTTTGAAGAGGGGACATTCTACTTGTCTGTTAGGGTTTGCCCAGCTTTTAACTTCACTATTCCTGATAGGCTTAATTAATCACCTTCTCCTTTTTGCTTCTGTATTACTTTATTTGTATTGCTACTATAGTCCTTAGTTTAGCACTTTGGCATATATTTAGTTATCAAGCAGGATGTCACCTTTGCCACACTGAGCTTCTCGAGGGTAAGGATCCTGACTTACTCTATAGTTTTCCCTTGGTCTGTTGTAGTTTTGAGCCAAGTTAAGAACTCACTGATAAATGTACTAGTCATAATACTATTGATCAAATGCTTCTAATTCTCTTCCTTCTGGATACATGACAAGAGTACTTCTCTATCCCATTGAATTTAAACTTGGCCAAGTGACTTACTTTGTTTATGAATTGTGAGTGAAAGGGAAGTATATATCCCAAAATCTGAAGCCTTTGAGTTCTTCTGTGCAATTTTCCATGTTTCCTTAACCTCCCAAGTGTTCTAGTTGGTAGAGTCTCCCTTACCTGAATCTCTGAGTAATAAGTCTGACATGGAGCAGACCCTCAAGATGGGCATGTAACATGAGTGGGAAAGAAAGATTTGCTATACATTTTCTCTTAATTTTTTAGTTCATTTAAAATTTTTATTTTAATTGAGGTATAATCCACATGTCCTGACATTCACCTTTTTTGTTTTGTAAAGTAAGTTTTTATTGATTTTAGAGAGAGAGAAAGGGAGAGGGAAAGAGAGAGTAACATTCATATGAGAGAGAAACACTGATCGGCTGCCTCCTGCACACCCTCTACCAGGGATCAAGCCCGCAACTTGGGCATAGGCCTTGATTGGGAATTGAACCTCAGCCTTTTGGTGCATGGGACGACTCACCCAGCTGAGCCACATCAGCCAGGACACATTCACCTTTTTAAAGTGCACAATCAGTCAGTATTAGTTTTTAATATGGTCACAAAGTTGTGCAACCATCACCACTAATTTCAGAACATTTTAGTCACCCCAGACTAACAGCCCAGTACTCATTAGCAGTCACTCCCTATTCTTTCCTCCTCATAGCCACTGACAACCACTAATCTTCTTTCTGTCTCTGGATTTGCTTATTCTGGACATTTCATAGAAAAGGAATTAGACAATATGTAGCCTTTTGTGTCTGGCTTAATTAACTTTTCAAGGTTCATTCATGTTTATGGCATGATTAATACTTCATTTCTTTTTATGGCTGAATAGCATTCCATTATATAGTTACTAGAGGCCTGATGCACGAGATTTGTGCAAGGGGGCTCAGCCTCCGCCCCTGCGGCAGCCCCCTCTGCCTCAACCCTGCCCGCTGCGAGTTCCGGAAGGTTGTCCGGAAGGATGTCTGGTCTAATTAGCATATTATGCTTTTATTATTATACATACCACATCTTGTTTATCC